TATTTCGCGCATCTCCCATTTTCTTTTTCTCCCGCTTATTGTTCCTACGGGCTTTCGGCATTGTTTTTTTTATGCACCGAGGAAGATTTAAGTGTTTAATAACCGGCTCGCTCGCAAACCTGGTAGATGAAAGATACAAGCGTTTCGAGGCGTTATTTTAGTCTGGCTTCTCGGTCGTTCTGATATTTTTCTCCGTCGCTCTTATTCATCTAGTTTCCTGTACCTACTCTTTTAACTTGTCCTCGTCTACTCTCAGTCTCTCTTTTAGTTCCAAGGTATACGGGAATTGATGATCCATTAAGAGTATTTATTAGTCCCTGTCGATGCAACGAGGAAATGGAAGATTGAATGAGATAATCAGGAAACTGCGGACACGTGATCGGATAATTTGTTAGCAAATTGATTTAATGAAAACACATAAATCCATATGAAGTAATTAAAAAAAATTTTGTATATTTTTTCATATGTATTTTATCATAAAAATAAAATACAAAAATAATTAAAATTAATTGTCAATTTTTTTCGACAACTTTTTTTTTAGAACTGCCTAGATAATATCTAATTTAAAAAATTCAATAATTGTTCAATTAAAAAATATATAATAATATGTAAGAAGGTTTTTGAAATGACTTGACATCATAAATAGAAATTAATTTATCAAAAAATCATCTTCTATTATGTTCTCAAGTTTTTTTAAGCTACTGGAACTGTATTATGAATATCCTGAAGTTTTACGAATCATTAAATGAGTTATTAAGTTGCTACTTAATTTTGTTATTAAAAGAGCGGTGGCGCAGAATATCCCTCATTATGGAAAGAGTTGTGCACTTTGGTGAAACGAGATCCACTTTCGGTGCTCGCTAAGCCGTCAGAAAACCAGTAAATAGCGTGACGGATTTTCTAGGGCAGCTTTAAGACGATAAAACCCTTAACGTTGTGTTTTTAGCAGGCGTCGCGCGAGAATCACGATCTATCATCTTAACAGACGCGGCTCGTTTTGCTTCGGACGAATTAGTTGTGCAAGAAGCGCATTAACTTCCTTACTAATGAATTGTAAACAACGCCGGAAATACAAACTTTAAAATAATGGTGGATAATAGTGGGTAATATTTAATTAATTCTGCATGACCTTTCATGCGGCAATAATTGAAGATTAATTGACCTTTGATATAAATTCATGCAAATGGCATTGGCATGGCATTAACGATAGATCCGTAATTATGTCTCTCCTGTACATAATTACACTCGGAAAACGAGAGCTTATGGTGCACGATTACATTTGTAATATAATAATACTCTCGTTACAATTCTACTTCCCCACAGGAATTTAATAAAAATGATGTTCAATTTTCGACTTAATCGCGTCAATTGTCCCCTAACGAGCACAGTCTTTTTTTATTACCAGACGATCGATCAGTACGATAGACGTCACAGAGAACAATGCGAATGTCACCAGTCACCACTCGACTCGACGTTACAGGAAAAAGATGTGAGACCTTTCCCTGTCCACAAGATTGTAGTTCGGTGCAAATAGACCGCTGACAAATGATAAACAAGCGAGGCGCCCACTGTCTGCACCTCTTTTTTCCTCGTCTCTTAGGATCATCATAAAACCACGTTTCTTCGCGTCACGAAAGACCAACCAAAGGTCCAAACCCGTGAAGCACGCGAGGGTTTATTTGAAAAAGGACGGCCCTCTTGAGAGAAGGACGGTGGAAGTGGAAGTCGTAACCGTTGATGGAGTTTGTATACTTCTCGAAATAAAAGGGGAGGGAGACACTCGAGGCTGTATCCGAGCAGCATCACTTTCGGGTTCCGGCTGTGACGTCATGTGTAACGGGATGAATCGAGGACCGTTTTGCGTAGATCGATCTAGCCCAACTAAATTAACTGGATTTTAACCCTCCGTGAACCAGGTGGAAAATCAACATGAATCATATGTGGGTATATCTCATACCCCATGCTATTCTTCATTATAAATATAATAATTTAGTATGATTCTCCAGTTGCACGAAACCGACAACATGCGCGCGGTACTTTTTTAAGAAGTTATAAAAATTCATCTAGCTAGGATATGTCACACTCCATCTAATTCACGAAGAGTCAATAACGTAGCAATTAAAAGTAGTAAATAATAGATTTGCTCTTAATAACATATTTTTTCGAATGGAATTCTGCACGGTGACTTTATGATCACGGTAACTATTATATATAATACTTTAACTGAATTCAGACGTTTCTCTCTGAGATGAGATTGTTCTTCCTCCAGCAGAATACGAGCTTGATTTTCCGCCTATTTCCATCAGGCCGCGTCTCCGTGTAAACTTGAAATGGAATAAGCCGCATCGTTCGCGCGTCATAAGCTTTCCGAGTAATTGTATACACAAGAGTCGTAATTACGGGCCTATCATTAGTGCCATGGCAATATTTGCGTGAATTTACAGCACATGATACAGATACGCTATCAATCTTCAGAATCTTGGTTGAAGACGATGACAGTGATTGGGTGAGCAAGGAAAGCTCCTCGCCGTGCGTGTCATAAATCTCGCGACGACGAGAAGGGATTGGTTAAATGAAGACATAAGGCACGTGACATAATAACGACGAAAGAGGGGTAAGTATTATTCGCACGCGTTGAGTTCCGGGAATTAATTCGCGCAACAATGTTATTAAACGTTAATCTAAATTGAATCATTATTCAGACTATAATAGAATAAATATTAGGTTATACATTTCATTTCCGTTCATGTACATGAAAACGTCGGTTTTGCTGGAATATCTGAAAATTTAGCCAGGTCTGAAGATAATTTTGTTGGACTATGAAAATAATTATGTAGACCGCTCAAACTTGTTGCTAGAATGTCAAAACTTTTTACAACATTGCTCGTTAGACTTAAGATACCTACGTGATTATTTTGATGGTTCAACAAAATTATTTTTAGATCCATATTTAACTAAATTTTTAGACATTTTAGAGCAAAATCGTTCTTTTCGAATAACTTTTCTTTATTTTCCATTTACAATCATATTTTTACTTCCTGCTTTTATAATCTAAATCCTTTTTATTCAGCCAAAGTTTTTTTTATCGTTCTAAACTTTTAAAAAAATTCAGGGTTACTTCCCAACATCTCTATCTGAAAGAACGGTTTTGCTGAAGTATCTACAAATTTAATTAGATACAGAACTGAAAATAATTATGTTAATCCATCAAAATAATTATGTAGGACGCTCAAGCTTAATAACAATGTTTCAAAAAGTTTTGATATTTTAACAACCAGCTTGAATGTTCAGTATAATTATTTTGTAATTTTGATGATCTAACAAAATTATTTTCAGATCTTTATCTACCTAAATTTTTTAATATTTTAACAAAATCATTCTTTTCATATATTACACACACATTATTAAATAGTTTTTTTTAAATACAAATCTTTATTTAATAAAAATTGAAATTTGAGCAAAATTGAAAGTGAAATTTCGCTTATACGAAAAACAGATTGCAGTCGGAGGATTAATCTATTTTATTCCTCAGGATTAATGAGCTAACAGTTATTCAGTCTCAAGTCTATCAATCTTGCTTCGCGTTATTCTGCCAGATTAGATAGTATTCATTTTTTATTATAGTATATATTCCTTCGACACCTCGATATGTACGCACTATGCGTGTATATACACCAGCGACTGGATAAGCCGCTGCCATAAATCGCAGATTTTTGCATATGCGGGCAGAGCATAGAGCGAAACAAATTCCGAAAACAAGATTGCTGTATATATCCTATAAACAAAAATCCCTCGCCGCTGGGAGATTTATATTCGTTTGGGAAAGTGTTACGCCCGCGTGTTTACGAGCGTACGATGCAACGATGTCCGTAGGAGGGAAGATAAATGGCCGATCTAGGAAAAGTCGATGTATGGAGGGTACTGCAATATTGGGCCCGAACGTGTGAAAAATGTACAATTAACGCGCGGTTTAATTCCTAATCTAAAGTAATAATGGCATACGCTTCATATATGCAATTTAATTCTCAATTCGAATAATATTTGAAGATAACACATGCCTGCGGTGACCATACGTCCTTTATTGTAAAGAACAATTCTTTATTTTAGGTAGTTGTCCTTTAGATTTATTTGTTTCTTCAAAATTCAATTTTGTCCCTTATTTTCCAATATTGTCCTTTACTGTCCTTTATTTTGACATTATGGAAAATTCTTTTCTAACTAGCGTTCCAATGTCTATAATATTATATCAATGAGCAAATTTTTACGGGAAATATCTTACAGTTTTGTGTATATAAATACAATTTGTTTTTGTTAATTATATTTCTTAATTTTTTAAATTAAATTTATTCAAACTAGAGTTGTTTACATTTTTTATTATTTCGAATCAAAGGTTTGTTCCAATACAGTCGAACCAGTTTCAAACTATCAGAAAATTGTCTCTATTTAAATCTCTATTTAACTATACTGTGCAATAAAATGTTATAATGCACAAATTTTTGACAATCACGAACTGGTTTAAAAATATGTAGGGATAAAGCCCTAAAATTTTCAGATTTGTCTTTTATTTTCTTTAAGAAAATATGGTCACCGTACATATGCCGTACGCGGGAGAGCCAATTTCGCCATTCGCCATTTTGTATTCAACCTGCAGAATTTTTTTGTCGAGCCCGACGCGAATTTTAATACGACTTTATACGAATTTCATTCGTTCCAAGTTAGGGAGATGGCTAGATTAAAGAAAATGAAATCAATTAACATTCCGGGAATCCGGATGTCGCAATTTAGAGAAAAATAAACAAGATACCCCTACCTGTGCGATCCACGTAGAAAAGATTCGGACGTGAAGCGTTCGCCGCGCGCGCGAAACGGTTGTCTTCCCCTCTACGGCGAGCCGCGTACCTGCGTGCCGACGTAGTCACGTGAACGGCGAAGGCGGCCGAGCGCGGCCGAAGGTCGTGCCGAGCGCGCAAGCGGCGCTCCCCGCCACAGTTCGAGATAGGCCAGCGCGACGTCGCGACGTTCTACCGTGGTCGGTCGAAGAATCGTTCGAATGCGTCGCGCCGCTTGATCGCTCGATCCCTGTCGATCGTGAGTTCGAGATACGCGGTCGCGTGTGGTGTCAGTGAACGATATAAAACGGCAGCGAGAGAAATAAAGAGAAGCTTCCAGAACGGTGTTGGTGAGGAACGAGAGAACTTGTCTTCCCGTGTGAAGAGTGAAGATAGGCAGCGATCACGTCACGATGGCAGCCTGTTGTGTGCGTCCCACCTGCGTGGCGATCGCCGTTCTGCTGCTACAGCTAACAGGTAAGTTTGAAAGTATTCACCTGTTATTATCAAGATAACGCGCGACACCGGTATACTTATTATATGCAGGAATCTCCTCCTGTCGGTGGAATCTCGCACATGGTTTCCCACGGGACCGCTCGTGCGGTATCGTTCGCCGCACCTCGGTGTAGGAAGCGCGCGAGAGAGAAAGAGAGAGAGAGAGAGAGAGAGAGAGAGACGGGGACGAGTAAGCACGCGAGAGTGCACTCAGCAGGTGGTTTAACCGTCGCGTCGCGCCGCGCCGCGCCTCTGGAATCCAATGTGAAGTTTCCAAGTTCGAGCTCGCAAATTCGAATTTGAGTTTGAAGTGGCGCGCGTCCACCGGGCGTCGCGTCGCGTCGCGTCGACGTTCCTACGGTTCGTTCCGCGGCAATGCATCGCGTGAATTGCGTCGCGCGTTTGTTCGAATTCGAAACGTCCGCTTACCGGTTAACCGTCAACCGTCGCGTAGCGGCCGGTTTGACTTTCATGATTCATGATCGTTCTTTTGTACCGAGGCGGTGCACGCTCTCGTAGAATTCCGTGTTCGACGCAACTTTCCACGTTCGTTCGTAATGCTGCGTTTCATCATTCCTGGGTAATTGCCCTCGTTTGCACTGTCGAACGGAAGCGGGCGAATTGGCCAGTGATGAATCATTAGCGTTGGCAAATTAGCAATAAACGTGAATCATGTCTCGAGAAGTTTGATCTTACAAGACTAGTTTTTTATCTGATTTACTTGTGGTTTAGACTTCTAGTATTTTCCACTGGGAAAACTAGTGCAACACTAGTGCATATTGAGTGCAAATTAATTTGCACAATTTCAGTGTGTTAATAAATAATTTAATCCTTTTAAGATTATGAGGTTATTGTTACAATAAAAAACATGTAATTAAAATTAAATTATTTATTAACTCTTAAAGTATATAAATTAAATTGCGCTCAGTGTACACCAGTGTTGCACTAGTTTTCCCAGTGGAAAACGCTATGAACCTCATTTAATTTAGAAGATAATGTAAAAATTTTTCTAGCTATAGTTAGTCATTAAATTAATGGTTTTGTAGTGATAATTTTAAAAGTTATTAATTTAGTAATTAATTATACAAAAAAATACAATTTTTACATCATCAGATTAAGCTCAATCACAGTTAGCGAATGAAAAATTGGGCGCTTGATATTTTAAACGATACAAAAATTTGCAAGTTATATGCATTTTCAATGTTTTATGCATATAAATATATTTTTGTGGCATCGAATTCAGATCAAATACTTGCAAGTGCATCGCATTTAATTTTGCACATTTTGTATCGTGGATATGTTAAATGAGAGCACATATATTTAAGCAGACGATGTAATTTTAATCTCTTAAATGAGGTTAATGTAGCTACAGTTACTTAGCAGTAGAAATTTTGTTTTTAGTACTGCTTTTTGTCAAAATTTTTGGGATCATTTGGAAATTGGGTATCTATAATTATAACTACTTGACTATTTCTTCAGAGTATGCATTATAGAAGTGTTCGGAATGGATTCCGATCGGAATTGTTCAATTATTCCCGAGATTTCTATTATGTTTTCTAAGGAAAATGGAATAATTCCGATCGGAATCCATTCCGAACAATTTCTCGATATGTGCTTCGCTTCAACTTAATGGATATTTAACGATGCTAATTTTAAAAAATTATTGATTATCTCAAGAGAGGAGAGTGACAAGAAAAAGAAGGAAGAGAAGCAATGAGACTTCTGCAATCTCGATGAACACTCAAATATATATATAACGTACATCCGTCTCCCAAATAGAACATAGAAATCATAACAATATCACGAAGACATCATCATGAACTCATTCGTCACTTATAAGTAAATTTTTAAGTATCAAATGACGTCATGATGACGTTCTATGATATTATTATGACTTAATTATGACTCCGTGTTCTACCTGGGCTATTTTTTTACAAAAATTATTCGTAATTTTTCGCGATTTTATTCGAGATACTTTGCATAATTTTTATCATATCTTTTGTGTCTGAGAATGTGAGAAATCTTCGCATTCTCAGGTTTTCTCCTCGAGGAGATCATCCGACACAAGCACACCTAACCAAACTGTCCATTTCGCGCACCTGTTAAGCGTTCAGGAAGGCCTATGGTGCGCCTTCCTTGAAAAGGGTCCTCCGCTAACAATACGCCGCGGCTATATGGCCTTTGTGCAAACCGTAGGAAAAGGAACTTGCGGTGGAAAAGAAACCTGGCAAGAGAGAGGTTGATTCATCGTATCCTGCGATCACTTTTCTCAAAATTGCTCGCTCGACCTCGCCTCGGCCGGACTTGGCAGAATTCTTCGCCGTTACCTGTCGTACAAATTGCAGGAGAAAGAAGGAGACTCGAGAGGAGACTGCCTCTCTTTCCTCTGTCTCTTCTCGAATATTCTCCCTTTCGTTTCGATCGTTCATTTATGATCTGACTCTCCGCGAGGCCGTCGTCGCGCGACGTCTCTTTCTTTCTTCTTTTCCGTCTTCTCCTCACCTTCTTTCTCACCGCGGTCCGGTTTCATCGAGTCGCTGCGAAACGCCGCCGTCGTCCGTCTCTCTTTTTTTTTTTATTCTCCTCACCTTGTCCTTCCACTTTACAAGCGCCGTCGTTCCGCTCGCCGATATGATTTATAAAGTATGCGTGAGCGCGTGTATGTGAAAAGAGAGAGAAAGGATTATAGAGAAGTACCGTTGCGACGTTTCACTTTCCAGCCATTTTTAGCCTCGCATCTTACTTGGACGCGATACCTGCTTCTTCTCAGACATGTCGTGTTCCTTTCTATCTATGGTATAAACTAAACTTGAAAACTGGTACGTGAATTTCATCGACATATATGATGAATTCGATCACTCGCACTACACTGGTTCAGTGTATATTAAAAGCTGCTTTATACAAAATATCTCAATGCAGTGATACAATATAATCAACTTTGACAATGAAATGATACACATACCTATATTTTGTTAAATAACGTGACAATATCATTAGTAGATAGTTAATCGTTTAAAATATTTATATATTTTTACATTTAACTTTGCTAATGTCATGTAAAACAGCTTTTAGTATGCACTGATCTAATATAGTGCAAGTGACTGAATTCGCTAATAGAAAGGATTGTGAGCATCGCAATAACCAAACGCGCACCGATTAGTATCTGAAATAAAGGACTGTTCTTTACAATAAGTCCTTCATTACTAAACTGATGATTTCGTAATGAAGTAAATTTTAAAGTTGCCACTACAAAACCATCATGATTAGTTACAGCTAGAAAACATGGTGCAGCAAGAAACGCATTGTAATTGTAACACAGTGATCATTTCATCTTTATTTAATAGTACAGACACAAGGATGTAATAATTCATTGTGTTAAACTGTGTCATCTGTTTCTCTTGAAGTGCTGGAAAGCACTCACAATTTTTACAATATCATCAAGTGAGGTTAATTCTAAACTATGATTTAAATAGAAAATGAAAAACCGGGTCTCAGAGTTTCTATAATATAACAGGGATGTGCCGAGTCACGTGATGGTGATATTTTCCAGAGTGAAATTTGTACTCTATTCTTATTTTTTCCTCCAATAAACGATAAAAATAGAATGACAATGTAACATTTTTGTGTCATTCTATCTTTATCGTTCGTTAGACATAAAATAGAAAACTAAATAAGAATAGAAAACAATTTTCACACCAGCAGCGAATCCAATCAGCAAATGTCAGATTACGTAACTCTTGGTGTATATTTTGATTGTACTTGTAGGTTCTCTAGGTCTTCTATATACTATGCAATCTCCAGCAAGCTCGCGTTTGGCTATTACAATTGGTGTATTCAGTCAATTCTATATGTTAATGGTGAACTCAATTAATTTGCACGTAACAGTAATTTTGGCAACATTGACTGAGGGCGAATTAGTTTAACGCGTTATAACTTATTTTCATTTTCTAACAAATATTGAAATACTCACAAAATTTTCCAAAGCTCGGAAAGTAACTCTAGCTATTTAAATTTCACGATATACACTTTTTTTTTTTAAAGAAAAATCGTAAGAAATAATTGAGTTTAGTCGATGAATAGTCGGTGTATTACGTATTCAGTTTTAGAATTGTGTTCTGTTGGAATTATACGTTTTTGCCATTGAAAAATCTAAACGTGACATTTCTCAGTTTTGAACTACATTCACGCAAAGGTACACAATAGAGACAGAGGTATCTCCACGTGAATGGAGATCGACAATGGCGATCACTTTATGTTTTTTTTTTTTTTTTTTTTAAAATGAAACAGAAACGTAAAGATCTCCGGTGGCCAGTGAAGAAAAAGTCGGCTGATGTCGCAGCGGATAGAGAGTTCAGCGAGTCTTTTGCAGTTTCCATCGTAAATTACGACGTGCTGTCACTCTCGATCGCGTTCTTTTAGACGACGATGGATCGCCTCTCCCTTTTTTCGTGTCGTCTCATTGTCGCGGTCTGTCCGACGCGCATATAAATTATGGTGGTTGATGTTACGTCTGCGTAATTGTATGGATCTTCGTCACGTCAGTCTGGCACGCTGGTCGTGAACCTCCTGGGAAATATCTCTCTGGTACGTCGCCGAGACTATGCTTGGATAGATGCCCGTGTTCCAGAGAAACTCCGGTCATCCGTTACTGTTTAACTTCCTTTGGTTCTTCAGCGAAACAGTACCGCAGTCCAAAAAGATCACTTTATTAAGCTCCCGAAGCTGAATCAATAAAACGAATCAAAAGTTGAATGAATATTTATGAGGAAAAACAAATTGCATTAGTTTGTTGTACTTCAAGTAGAAGTGTAATTACCACAAGATACCTCGATGTTGAATACTATAAAAGTACAGTTGCGACAGTGAAAAATGATCAAAGAATTCGTCATTCATATTAATGACTGGCTCGAGGGGTAATTAAGCTTTATCTTGCGTTTTTTTTTTTTGCTATAAAATCCAACAAATACCCGTCGTAATATCCG